TTAACTCCTTGAGGACTTTCTTTTTGTTGATAGGGAGCATGTGCCTTGCGTAAATCATCAAAGACCACTTTTTTCAAACGTTAAGCTTCGACACCTGGATATTAAAATCATTTTAAATAATTTTAATTATTCTTATTTACAACCGGCATCTGTAAATATCACATCAAGTGTTTACACCAATTGTTTACTATTTGCAACTACTTTCTTTTCGATTTGCTACTATTTGGATACTTTCTTTAGATTTGTGCCACTAAAAGCTTATTTTGGAACAAAAGACCCAGTAGCAAAAGATTAGTGATATTTATGATGGAAAAAGAGTATTTTATGTTTGAATTTGAAGCAGTGAAACGCACGTGGAAATAGAACGTGACATTTTGAGAATTGAGCGAGAAATTTTGAAATTCCTCAAAGGGAACGTGCGCGGCCTTTTAGCGTCGCAGAATCTTTCTTCAATTCTTTTAAAAGTTAGCCTGGCAGGTATCTCTGTTTCGCCTCTCTCATGACTTTCGCAATAGACTCTCTTGAGATAAACAAATAACTCTGCTGATCGAACGCACTCCTTTCTTCGCGGCTTCAACAAAGATGCCACGATCATCGGACGTGAGCGCGCGGTGTGCAAGGAGCGTATATATCGGCGCTAACTTAAACGGTTGCGTTATAAACACGAGAGAAAGGATATTTTACTCCGATATCCCATAGACTTGATTTAGCAGAAAACTCATATAAAAATTACGCAATAATGTAATCTTTTTTTCCTCTTTCTCTCTCTCGATCAATTCAATCCTATATCTATGGTGTGACTAAGATCGACGTTCGCATAAATCTTTCTTATGAAAAAAAATTTGTTGTAAAACTATTTCTTGCCGCAAATTCAGTCTTGGTATTTCGATGTTGAATTCAAAAATAAGACTTTTTTGAAATAATGGAAGAAATAATAAAATAATTCTGAAGTCAGCCAATTTGAATTTAAGTATAAAGTTATCGAATCATTTAGCTCTTGATAATTATAATTTAGTTTCAAGTAAATTGGAAGATTTATGGGATTTGGTCCCTCAATTTAGGCATTACGAGGAGGGGAAGAAACTCTTCGATACCTGGACTCAGGAGGTATCAGAAGGTCATTCAACTGCAGTGTTGTGCATCCATCTCCAATTTCAAGACAGATTCTCCTTCAATGAATTTTATTCACATGATCCAATTTATTAGATTCGGACGAAACAAAAAAAATCTAAACCTTTTATAGATAAAAGATATCATTTAATTTTGTTTTTCTGATGTCTCCTTAGCCTCATCATAAAACTTTGAGGTAAAGTAACTAATACCTCAAAGTTGTTTGATGACTGAGGAAAAAAACATTCCCAATTTACGATTTTCAAGTCAAGTTGCAAATATATTAGACAGTTAAACAGCTCCTGATACAAGAAACGAAAATTACGCGAGAAAGTAAAAGAATTTTGCAAATTTCTCCTGAGGTCTGTACATGATTCCTTATAAAAGTCATCGACAACAGTAATCGTGAAATACCCCGAGCCCACGTGTCTGTCTCCACGGAATCGTTAATTAGGTTTACCAACAAGATAAAGAGATAGAAGAGTGATAGAAAGCGGAAAAGTGAAAGAGAGAGAAAGAGAGAAGAGGAGAAGTGGAACTCCTGAGAAAGGGGAGAGGAATAAAAAGACTTGAACGCTTTCACGCTTTCAGGGAAATGTCACTTGTAATTCGAAGATGTGCAGATAGATCGTCGATAGTCCTTTTCTCTTCTTTCGTTCCGACTTCTCCTTCTTTTTTCATTATCTTCCTTTTGCTCCCTACCCCTCCAACCTTGCGGTTAATCTTCGTCCAAAGACGACGAGTGGACTCTCTCTCTCTCTCTCTCTGCGAAAATCAATGATCTCGACCTCTACTCCAGATTCTCTTATTCTTATTTCATCTCGTTAACTCAGACCTGAGCTTTTGCCCTATTTCGAGAATTTCGAGATCAGCATATGCTAAAGTCCTGCTATCTTCTGCTATGGGGAATTTTAATGGGGACTCCTTTATTGCACGAGTTCTGCGGATATATTTCATGCACTTGCATTTAATACGAATATTCCCATTTTTATCGCGACCTACTGAAGTTCAACAAGTGTAGAAAATAATCTCTCCGGACAACTTCTCCGTTTATAATTATACGTATTTATAAGCATTTTTTTTATTTGTATAAATCATCTAATAGAGGAATATCACAAAAAATTGTGCCAACTTTTACAAAAGTTTCATCAATATTGATCCTTCAAGTGCACACATCCTAAAATGTTCTTAAAACCCACAGATGAATAATTGACATTTGTTGTAAGAATTTTCGGAGACTAACACTGTTTTCATCTTCTTCCAAAAAACTAGCCAAAACTGTGAAATAGTTTAGATACTTTCACTAGTTCGAGCTTTGTCTGCAACAAAAATGAACCCAGTTTTTTATGTGACGCTAATTTCCAAAATGCATTACTTGGAGATTTATTTAGATATTTCATGTATGACTCTAAGTTGAATGTAAAATTATATACATTTCCTTTTACCGTTTACATGACCCAGAAAATGTACTGACACGAGGCCCGAAATGTAAATGGAAATTTTTGTTGAATTTTTCATCCCGAGCAGAATTGTGTACGTATATAATATAATATATATATAGAGGAACACTTATACACATCTAGGTAGATAGATGCAAGCTGTATGGGGGCGTAGATATGGGTGCGCCCGTGCCTTCAGCCAGCCGCGAGTGCGCACCATTATTTCATATTTCATTTTGTATTTCAACTACATACGAAGGAGATGCTAACCTGTAGGGCTTTCGTAAAAAAAGGAAATGATAAAGAAAGAGAGTTGAATATCCACCCTCTCTCTACTCCCACATTTTCATGTCTCTCTTATGTACTTTCACCGTCTTTTCTCATAGCGTATCCTCAAATCGAAATCTTATTCTCTCGCTTACAAAGATAAGACCAAAAAACAAGAGTTTTTCTTCGGAAATTAATGATTGAGACTTAATCAACTTTGTCTTGACTTTGTCTTGACTTTGTGTGGTTCTTTTTGGATGAAAGTGCAGATAGCTGTGAGAGAGACATCTGATTTAATGTAATGAAAAGGCAGATATGAATTTAAGGGCGTCAGTGTTGCTTTAATTGTTAACCATCGACTGTAATAATTAATTAGCAGAAATCGATTGTTCCGCTCGCAACGCAGAATTATTGCCAACTAAGCTCAACGTCATTGAAAGAAACTTAAGGAAGCATTGCCTTAGAGGCAAGAATAATAATAATTCCCGCAACAATGACCGGCTTTGTTTGGTCCTAACTTGCTTTCTGTAAATCATCATTTTATCCTCCGGGTGTGCTCGCGCATAAAGGGAAAATTATTGGATGCACCTGTCAGTTCATATTCACGACTATAAATTAGACCTGATTTCTTCATCTTCTGAATTGTTTCCACTATTTTTTTATAAGTTTTTATAAGTTTTTACAATCAGAATATCCCCATTTGGGAAGATGCAAATTTTTATTTTTAACATGAAAAATGAGTTGACATTAAAAGATTGTTGACTTTTAACAAGTCAGGAAAGTGACACGAAAAATTTTTCGGCCAACAATGAGTGGATTTAAATTTAATATTTCTGAGCGAGCAATCTCCCGCAGTGATTCATCATCACACCCGCGCATTTTAGGAACGAACGTCCCACAATGTACACATGTGTATATGCGATGTCCTCGTTAAGTATTCTAATGGATCCGTGTTCCTTGCTTAATTTTGCCCCCTCTACGCGTGTTCATTCCTTCTTTATGGTCTTCGTTCCCTTCTCTTTTGATGCTCTCCCCCACCCCTTATTTCCAGACAACTTCATTAATTTCGAACCCTTTTCCCTCTGGGAGATGATATCTCACCATTTTCAACACATCATAATTGTGGGCCATTTCGATCGAGCATTTTTAAGCAAAATCAAACAACCAAATTAACTTGGTGTATAATTTCCATTGTTGACTTTAAGAATATTTTCTTTCCTTCTTCTCCTTTTGATTGCAAGTCACTTTTGACATAGTGGAAAGGGTAGAAAAAGAAAATAAAATCATCTTTTCTTTAGTCAAAATTTGATCAACTTTTAAAAAATAATTTGTTTCCTAATAAGTAAAATAAAAATTCACAATGTGATTCGGAGGTTTTGATTAACATTAACTTGAGATTAAAGTCTATAAACTGATTCATGCATCAAGTTTCTAAAAAATGATATTTCTCACATAAATCAAGATTAATTATGCGAACTGAGACGCAAAAAGCATCTGCTCCAGGCAGTTATTTATGTTTAAGTTAATCATACCCTTTACCCTTAATTGCCATTTACTAATTTTCTTAAGCGATCGGTGAGATACGACTGCATTAAAAGTAGAGCGTAAACTCGTATTTTATCTCAACAACAACGTAATTGCACCCAAACATTCATGAAACACATACACACAAATATCTAGCCATATGTTTTCGTCTCATTAAATTTTCAAATTTTTGACAATTTCAAAAATTAATTCGGTCAAATGCAAACAAAAAAATGTTTATTTCAAAATAGCCAAAAAGTTTTTAATAAAAATAACAAAATTCTAGAAGTACTACAAAATAATCTGCAACAGTCTAATCTGCTCTCTAGGATTAAATTAACACCAAAAAGGATTAAAATAATTCATTTTGGTCTTAGTTTTTACTATGAATGAAATTTTACTTTAAATCAACCACCAAGTAATTTTGTCTGCTTATAAAACCGTTTTTCTCTTTGTTCTGCACTCATTCTTGGATCCAGCTTTACGGTAAGAAACGGATTTTTCCCTATAAAAGATAAACTATTCAAGCAAAAGTAGGAATAAATTTTTTGACAATTAATGCATTGAATTTAGAAGCAAAAGTGAAAAGCTAAATTACATTTGGAAAAGAGGATTTAAGATAATTTGTTAGTATCGTTCCCATCTGTTTTTTGCCCTCAGGAAAGAAATGGCGAGGACTGACGCCACAAGACAGAAGGCCCTATGTGGAGGAGGCCGAGAGGCTGAGGGTGATTCACATGCAGGAGCACCCGAACTACAAGTACCGGCCGCGTCGGAGGAAACACGCAAAAAGGGCCCCCGGGGCCCCCTCCTCACCTCCGTCGGCGACAAACGCCCCTGGCAGTAGGAGCAACCCCAACACCGCCGCCATCCATCATTCCATGTAAGTTAGTCCGCAGAATCTCCTCCTCGCACTATGAATTATTCATGAAGCTATAAACAACTGCCAAAAGTAAATCGCAACTAGTATTTTTAGAGTCCTCCAAACTCCATTGTCTATTCAATTTCTTCGATTCCCCCCTTTTCCTTTCCTTATCGACAACAAATTTATTCAAACTATTCACATTTATTAAATTCCTTTCCGGACATTTCACTATATCATAATAAAATTTTGTCATTCGATTCTTCTTTACCGACTGCGCATAATAATGTATATTGTTTTATCGATAGTTCACATGTTGTCATTTTTTGCCAAAGGTCGAAAATGGAGAGCTATCAGGGAATGTCCCAGATGGCCTGGGGTGGACATTCGCCGATTTCTTCCCTCTATCATCCCCAACAGCAGCAGAGTCTATCTGAATTCAAATCGGAGAATAATTCCATTTACGGAAGTCCCTACACGCCCATCATTCACACACCGGACATCACTCCTGTTGCTAGTCCCGAGCCTGATGGTAATTATTAAATACATTCTAAAATCTAAATAGAAACATGAACAAGGTTTTCATTTACTTTTTAATCATATCAGCGGATGGACACATTTCATCGTCCCAAAATCAGGATCAGGATCGGGACATGATGGAAGGCACATCGAAGCAACACAGTGAGATTTCCGAGCAGACGAAGCGCTATTCCTTTATGAATGAGAGCCAAATGCATCCGTCACACAGTGGAGTGAGCATATCTTCCTGTCCAAGTGCTGGGGGCTATACGGACACCTTAACTTACAAGAAGGTTCGAAAGCAATTTAAATTTAATTTCCCATTGAGAACGAACATTTCGAAATTATTTCTAGAGCAAGTTTATTAATTCCCCAAATATTCGCAGGTGAGTTATTTAAATTTCGAGAGGCAAAGTTCAAGCATAGCAGCCGTGGGAATTGCAAATGGGATGATGGTCTCCTGCAACAAATTGAGATCCGGATTTGAAAACGTTGGATCGGTCACGGGGACTTTTTATCCTCCGGTCGCTTCTCCTCACGATCAGTCTATTCACTACAGTAACGCTCCGCCATCAAAATCAAATTACTCGATGCAATCTGGAGTCGATAGTGGATATAATATTCAGTGCAACAGGCAACCGAACCTGGGTTTGCGAGTCAGTGAGGGCTGCTCTGGTAAAGACTTTTGTTAGTTCTTCTTTACCTACGATCGATAACAGTGCCTTTACCGATCGTAGATAAAGAAACATTTTCCTCTTCGTCGGTTGTTAATCAATTTCTCTTTACCAACAGCAGGCGTTTCGCACAGATATCAACTCCAGCATCATCAGGATTATCAGGAGAGTGGTTCCACCCAGCAGCAACAACAAGTCCCGATGTCCCATATGGAGACGAATCTGCATGACGATGGCGAGGAGCAAAATCTTCAGTTGGACAAATACTTCAAATACACACAACCATCGACAGTCGGTCACTCGAGTCTCACTACACAGAATCTCCTCGACAGTAATCACAACTACGCGAGCGATTTGCGTTACTATTCGCCTCAGCAGTCACATCTCGACTTATCGAGTTCCCAGTGCATTATCGATGAACCGAATAAAGACAGTCAATGCTCGAGTGTTTCAGGCATAACTCACATGGAGCAAACGTATCATCAGGGCGTTGATGTCACCAAGTATCAAGAACATCCGCAAACTCATCATCACCATCAGCAACAGCAGCAGCAACAACAACAACAACAACCGCCACCACAACAGGTTCAAAACATGGAACATCCCCCAAAATCGGACGATGATTTCAGTGTAATTCTTGCGGATGTTCGAAAAACTTGTTACAGTAGTTAGTTATTTTCTGTTTCCCTTAATACTTCTCCGTAAAACGATATTTCTATTTTTATGGACTCTGTTATAAATTGAATCGTTTCTGAATTTTCATTCAGTTTTAGTTATTTTATTGAAAGAATTTATCGAGTTTTGACAAATCAGTTTTTTATTTTACCGACTGCTGGTAGAAAATTAATCGAACGCAAAGCATGAGTTAAAAAAGGACATATATTTCAACTAATTTTTGCCTCAGCAATCTGCTTCCAAATAAATGAAGGAAAAAGTATTCGAAATTTTGTTACGATTTAGTTTTCTAAAGCAACCACCTTTCTTTTGAAACCATTACTGATGATCCTAATATCACTGGTCGACAAAATTAAGGTTTCTTTTTGCTACAAGAATAAACTATAGTAATTTTTATAGGATTTTTGACGTAGATTACGAATCTGTGAGTGAAATTGTATCACGTCTCAATTTTGAGAAAAACGGGGTTGAAGTATTCGAAATTTTGTTACGATTTAGTTTTCTAAAGGAACCACCTTTCGTTGAAAGCACCACTGATGATTCTTATATTTGAAGCAGGTCAGAAATCCGACTCCTAAAAAAATGCATTTCGTTTATAAAACAGAACTAAATGTATATATTTGTGGCTTAATAAACCATTAGACTACAAATATAAATTATAATATTACTGGCTATTAAAATTCTTCGCCACCTCTAAAACTTAATAATAAAGTCGGTAAGGTAGAAATCTTTTCCACTGTCGTTAAATATTCTCTACCAACAGTCGATGTTAGTTTGTACTTATAAAATTTTAAATAATTTTCCGTACAAAATTTTATGTTTTGAAAATTTGTAAAGTATGTTACAAAATACATTGATCGACGTTTATCTAGTGTACAAATAGAACAGATAGTATGTTAAGAGCGGCAAAGAGCCTTAATTTTTTTTGCAATTACTTCTACACTTTAGAATTATGTGTTTAGGTCCATCCAGCAGGCATGTAGTTGATAATTCAAATGATCTCGATCGATGGACTGACCTGCACGACCTGCTCTTCGATTTCGAGCAGCGAACCTCTATAAGCCCAACATTGTTTTTTTCTACTATTGTACTTAATATTTATAATCTAAAAAGTGATAAAAAATATATAATAACAATTCATTACAAAATAATAATCAACTACATGAATTATTAGTTAAAATTTATTTTTAAAATTCTGATATGATATGTTTTTATCAAATATCAAAAATTGCGAAAAATTCACGGTATTCTTATAATCGACATTCGATTTCGTATTTTCATATTTCACATTTTAAATCGAAATCAAAATAAATAAAAAATATATTTATATTTCGATTATCGATATTATTTATATAAAACGAATAAAAAATTAGAGATATTGATCATGTCAATGTTTTTTCTATTACTATGGAAGGGTGTATAATAACAAAATTGTTTTGAAAGCAAAAAAAAAAAAAAAAAATTGTTGAAATAAAATTTAGCAAAAATGCGACTGATATTGGGAATCTATTTTCTAAGACTGGGTGCGTTCACGATAGAGAAAACGAATTCGTTCACGTAAGTTATTTTTATTAAATACTTATAAAAAATATGTGTATATAAGTTACATTGTATGTAAAGCGTAAATCATATTTTATCGCTACAGAGTACGAACTTGGAGTGACAATAAAGATGAGGGATTGACTCTCATTTCTAATAAGTTCTTCGTTTAGTCATTTCCTTTCTTTTCAACAAATAGTGAATTCCTCTCTTATTTTAAGAGAATAAACAGTCAAAACTTCTCAACTGGAAAAAAATTGACAAATAGTTTTAGTTTTTTTGAAAATCACAATATATTCACGTTTTAAAATAATTTTCAATAATTTAATTCTTACATAATTTTTATAATTAAATAAATATTAATTTCGTTTAGAGTATTTAAAAAAATGTTTATTTAATATATAAACTATTGTTTATTTAGAATAGTAATTATAAACATTTTTTTAAATAAAAACGAAATTCGTTTTAAAAATTAATTGAATAGAAATTAATTTTAGATATTCGACAAAATTTTCGAAGTCACTTTTTAAATGATCTTGTTGAGAAATAATGACTAGATTTAATATTAATGTAAATATATACAATAAACATTTAAATAATTATGTCTGTTAATAATCAGGGAAAAAGAAGTATTTAAATTTTTTAAATACAAATTCGTAAGTATACTTCATTAATAAAACGAATCTCTCTGGTTAACAAACTACAAATACCAGTTACAAAATTCGATTCTTTAGGGTTTATATACATTTTTTTATGTACAGTTTCTCCTTACATTTAATATTAAATTTCGCTTCAGTTTTAACTTCAATAATCGACATTTCTTTTCTTTACAACACGCAGAGCGATAATTGAGTATTTTTTCAGGATAAAATTTCTGAATTTGAGAAAAACAAAAATTGTATGAAAATCGCTCTGAAATTAACTGGTTTTTTGTATTTCAAGTATATATTTAAAAAAAATCACATCTGATTTCTATTTCTAAACTCTTAACTAGTTAACACGTATTGACTCGTTTGCATTTTTCTTTTTTTTTTGGTTAATTCTATTCTATAACAAAAAAACCTGGAATTAGAGCTTTGTCGAGAAAAAAAAATTATGGGAATGATTTCGCTCTTTCCTCAGGACAGAAATAACGGCAGTCTTTTCTTATCAAAAAACTGATTAAAAATTTCCCTTTCTTTCGATTCTAGAGATTGTCAATTAATTTCAATAAAAATTGATCATATTTTGAAGAGAGCAAAAAAGGGTATAGAAAATGGCACAAACATTTAAGATATAGAAAAAATACATTTAGATAAGAAAACACCTATTCTTCTTGCAATATTCAGGAGTAATTTTAAAATATTTTCTTAGAATTGGAAATTTTTCCAAAGAAAGTAAACAAAAGTTTATTGAGAGAGTATTGGAATGATATTCAAGAAATGCAATGTTAGGAATGTTGGACGTTAAAGAGCAACATTAAATGCAACGCTGAAGAGTATGGAGTATAAAAAGTATCAATATCAAGAATTGGTGATGAAATGATTTTTTTGTTTTGATGGCGACAATAGAGAGCAAGAATTAATCCCTATATTAAAATTTCCAAAAGCTCTGATTTTCCGACAGCAAAGGCATCTTTTTGAAAATTTCTTTTCTCATTAATTAAATGCAAAAATTCGAAGTAATCGTTATAAAAATGTATAAATTTGAGGATTCAGGAAGCACGTAAGTGTCATTCGTCCCAGAGGCAATTTTGTTTCAGTTTCGAGTAGTAGGAAAAAATGAAACATTTTTTGCAGGTTTTTATACCACAACGGTACATGCTACTCGCTTTTTTACCTTCGCCTTTGCCTTTGCAAAACTTGAGTCCGCAGGGGTACCAACCAATGCAGAGTTCCAAGGAACAGGTGCAAGGTGCCCACAGATTCGAAGTGTCTGCACATTTCGATATTAGATAAGATTTGACGTCGTTCGAGTCCGAACGGGTTGAAGTGAAACTCCGCACTGCGGATGTTAGGGCCACTTCAGAAGTTCCTGTTAAAGCGAAATTATTTTTTAAATCTTGTTTGTTTATAGTGTCGATGAGATCGTTTTCGCTTATACTAACCAGGTCTTTGAATCCATTGCTTGAGATCTTCGTTGCGAGTGTAGGTTGAGTCTTGAGCATCAGCGCAAAGAATACCGACGTGTTTTGAAATTACTTTTGATTGCAGGACGTCGAGAAATAAATTCATTGTATAATTAGAGTGGCCCTTGTCTTCCTCGGCAACACGAATTGTTCCGGGATTTTTCTGTCGCAGTTTTGATATTGCATCAGAGGAAATAAAGTCTGATTTGTAGAAATGATTTACAAAACACATAACTTGAAATTGATTTTGTCCTCTTTCTTCTTCGCCTAGGACCAATGCCTTTATCACCTGCACTTCCTGTTTAATTCAACAAATTATTAATTAATTAATCCAAAAACTTAACTATTAACAGATTGTTTTAAAGATTACCATACTAAAGAATAAGGATAAATCAACTCACATTTCGGAAATCTATTAATTGAGTGACTAAAGTTCCATCTGATCGTTGAAATTCTAAAGTTATTGTATCATCAGTCACATTGGACGAAATAGTTTCCAATAAAATGTCGCCACCCTAAAAACAAACATCTCCAAATGATAATACTTTAAACAATAAAATGATAATACTAAACTAAAGACTTAGAAAGTTTATTTTTAGAAATACTTGATTTAAATTAAGTGAAGCTAACAGTAAAAGAAGCATATCTGAACCACCTTTTTGTAATTTTGTAATTTATTGTAATATAACTGTTTTAATATTTATGTTTGATAATAACATTTAAAAGTGTAATGAAAGTAGATTGCATTTTCAATCTAATAAAGATTTGTAAGAAGTCTGCATACTAAACACAAACTCTACAGAATTATAAAAATAGTAATTTGTTAAATATCATAAAAAATACAGAATTTGTTCTTTTACTGTTGTTAGTTCTTTCATTAGTGCTGTGATTCTAATTTTGAAAAACAAATACTTTTTATTTGTACTACCACTAAGATTTTAGGTTAGACTATACCAAAATAGTCCTAAATTTTCAAAAACAAATGAAAACTAAAAATTTGAACCAAAATTGTAATTTACTTCTTGTTTTTAATACAAAATAGAAACTAAAAACCAACTTACCTGATTCTTAACATTTATTAATAAGTGAGTTGTACAAATGTTGAGAAGATAATGAAAGACCAAAATAGTCGAAAACAATGCTTTGAACAGTCCCATCGTCTTGTTTTACTTCCATCTGAGTAGAAAACACATTTTCAATCACTGATTCAATTTAATGCGTTCATTTAACGCAAAAAGTAAAAAAACTGAGCTATTTTTTATAAGATTGAGTTATTTGACATTTTTGCAACCTAACCTAGATTGTCATTTTGTCTTCTAGCTAGAGTTGAGATTGAGCACCGTTTCCCGTTATGGACAGTGCTCGAGGGTGCTCAATGAAAAGGGCACACGAGAGCAAAATAAACCGGTTTGAGCACCCTTCTCAGGTCAATAAGGCGCGCTTTGAGAGAGATTTTAAACTTGTCTTCGTATATATTTCAGGACATCCTCATATTATATATGGACTTTATTGAAACGCTTCTAGAAATTAGGATACCTTGAGAAACATTCCTAGAATATCCAAGGATGTCCCTGGAAGCCTGAAACATCCTATTGATATCCTAATTTCCGACAGGCTGATATACTTCCCTGCATAAAAAAAATATTCTTGTTTTAAGAAGATTATTTTTATGCATATTTTCCTCTTGAATATGGCTAAAAAATGCCCTCTTATTTTAAGAGGATTATCCTCTACTTGAGAGTATTCCTCTTAAAATGAGAGGAAATAGTCTCCTTGTCCTAGTCTTCCTAGTTCAAGATCTTTTCAAAAGAATCTTCCTCTCAAAACAAGAATATTTTATTTCGATGCAGAAGAAAATGTCAGCTATTTTAACTAATTTTTAAACTATCTCAGCAATCTGCTTCCAATTGCTTCCAATAAAGGCAGGAAATAGAATTCGAAATTTTACGATTTAGTTTTCGAACAAACACTTTTTTTTGAAACCACTACTGATGATCCTAATATTTGCAGCCGCCAGTCAGAAGTCCGTCTCCAAAGGGTAGAAATGCATTCAAAACATTGTTATGACTTAAAGTTTCACGTACAATCGATGATCTTTCGACAGCTTTTAAAATAGAGTAAAAAAGAATTTAGAGTTATTCTATTTCTCCTTCATTCAACAAATCAATGTTGTAAAAGTTTAATAATTTAGATCATAAAAAATATCTGTATTTACTTTAGCACTAAAGAAGTTGAACCTTCTGTATTTATGAATGCGCATCTTATGCCGCACACGACATGTTTAAGAACTACAGGAAACAGTCGGTGAAACTCAGGGTTGAGAATCTTCTTATGAGCCTCCAAGGATAATGTAGATTTCCACTTTTCTTCATACAAAAAAATTAGTATGAAAATAACTGACGCAAAATAATTTAAAAACATCGATTTTAATTTCCTTTTTGCATAATTAATTACTCCGAAAATTTATAAATATAATAAATTTTCTTGCAAATTTTAAAAGTTTTTATAAAAAAAATTAATATTTACCAGAACTGATTTCGTCTGTATAACAAAATCGGCCTGAATGGTATCAGCATGGATTTTTAATAAACTTACACTTGAAAAACATTTATTTCATTCAAATAAACAATGACTCGTCTATTGTCAATAATAAATATTTATCAAATAATTGTTATTTACCTTATAGCTAAATGGTATTTGCTTCAAATAAAAAAATTATTGGTTCAAATACAATGGAAATACAATTTATTTTGTATAAATAAAAATTAGTTGCTTGAAGTAAGTATTTATTTGTTAGTACACAAGTAATCAGTTATTTGAATAAAATCAATTTTCTTCAATCTCTTTAAATTTAAATTAGTAAAAATGTTTACTAATTTGAATTAGTAACTGACTTTTTGCTATTGAATTGGTAACTTTTACTAATAAATATTAATTTCTACTAATTTTCATTAGAAAAAATTGCACTAAAAAAAATTATTTGATTTAAATAATCGATTACTTGACTGGTATCAATTAAACTATTTACTTGAATTCAATAATTTTTAATTGATTTAATTAAAGGGCATTTGCTTCAAATACTGAATTATTGGTTCAAATACCATTTAGTTGACTCAACTAAAAATTATTTGATTCAAGTAAATATTAAATTATTCTTTAGAGATTAATTTGAATTGGTGACGGACACTTTGCTCTTGAGTTAGTAAATTTTACTAATTAATCACTAGAAATTAGTAAAATTAGTAAAATTTACTAATGAATTAGTAGAAATTAGTATTTTTGATTAGTAGAAAACTACTAATTCAGATTTAAAGATTAGTAGAATTTTACTATTTTTTAGTAGAATTTTACTAAATCAGATTAAGAGAGTGTCAACACGGTATTAAAAAATGAGAATGAAAGCGAAAGTCGAAATAATAAATGTCTCCAGAAAAAAAATTAAATTTTATCGACTATCCACTGTACACTCTGGAAATTTAATTCGTCAAATCCCTGATATCTTTAACCGCTGGTAACTGTCTTGAATGGAAGTAATGATCATCATTTTTCTTCAAGCTTGGACTTAACCTTCAATTTCCTGAAGAAATAGGCTGAGCGGAAATTGTTTTGTCAAATGAAGAAGACTGGTTTCAGTCAGAATAAAGTCGATCCTGAAACGAGACATCCTCGGCTCGCTTCTGCCTCCGGGGGTGTGGAGGCACGTCGACGTTGTGCTTGAAAACGTAACGTGTTTTATCGATTCGTCGAGTCGGCCATGTTCGTCAAACTCTGATCAGGCGCACTCTCGCCCTTTCTTGAGAGAGAGAGACGTGCCACGGATAGATTTTCCCCGAGTTGTTCATCGCGCGAGCCTTTCTTTTCTAGCGTTCAACATAATGTTCTTGTACTAATAGAAGGACATTTTTTTGCAATAACTTTCAATCCAATATAAACCTTGAAATAAAAATCTTGAAATAAAAGTGCGTGCTAAAATTCGCTGTTTGTTTTATCAACGAGTTTTCCATCTCACTTTGGACAAACCCAACGACACAAAATCGTGAGTACTCCATACCAAGAGCCTACATTTTCCCTCTTTCTCCATTAAAAGGTCAATCCTCAATTTCTGCCCACTGTGAAAAATCGAAAATTTAGGTTTTATTTTTCGTTTCTATTCGTGGTTTTCGAATATACCTTTTTGGGAATTCCTCATTTTTGGTACTCTTTTCATCAGTGACCTTGAGTCCCAATATCTCCGCCCCTTTGAAAACTGATAAAATTGGAAATTGACAATACTAACGATATAGGAAAATAGGTGATTCAATTTGTATCCTATTCTCCCTTATTCCTTGCGAATTCAATCGATATCTTGCAATCTTGAATTTAGTGCAATTTATTTTAAAATAAAAGCGCAATCTTTCGAGACATTTTACTTGTCTTAGTTACCTGATTAATTAACCCCGGAGGGTTTATCTAACTTGAATATTAAAAACGGGAGGGGTGTATTTTCTTCAGTCCCATTAACGACTTTTTTATTTTTAGAGAAGAGAATCTCTTTCTTCAATTATTTCCTTTTTTTATTATCACTTGTTAGAAATAATACAAACTCTTGTAAATGATTTCATCACTTTACTGACTTCTAACTTTCCTTTTTTTACTTTTCCTTTAATTTTCACATTTATGAAATGTTTGGTTTCATTTTTTTACGTTTAGTATGCTAAGAGAGTTTTGACTGACTTTAACTGTTTTCCTCCTTAAAATACGCTCATAGTGGTTTATTGCACTTGATCGATATATTGAATGACTGAGAAATTTGTATTTAGTTTTGATTCTAATGGACAATTGAATATGGCCCTAAGAACCTACCAATCCAGTTCTTCATTCATTCGATATATCGAGAAATATTAACATTTAGGGCAATTCTACAATTTTTCACCGAAAACATAAAAATCTTCTTCCTATCACTCTGTGTGGGTGTATTTCAAAGTGGCGCACAACTGTTGAAACATTTCCAAATCTTAAACTTCTTATCTGCAATTAAGGAGTTATTTTTTTATTGTAGAAGTACCCTTATAAATCGATACTATTTATTTGGCGTAAGAAGTGTAAATAAATTGACTTTCTACCCACGCAGCGAAAGTCGTGGACGCATTTTCTTTGGAAAATCACCAGATGACCCAGTGAGACAATCTGCTTTGTAACCTAACCTTCAAATAATTAATGCGCACGGTTTTGTCTGGAATTATACACGCTAAAAATATAGTTAATTTTCTTTAAATGTATCAGCATTGAACCACTGTCATCAGTAATATGAAGTGTCATGAAGATACTTCATTAGCACCTCTGATGGATATCTATCCGACATTTATTATATGATTTTGAGTTTCGTTCTTTTTAGCATTTCTTGTTATTTTCTTTTCTTTTTGGGTTTCGATCAGGAGACAAAAGATTTTATATAGGAACCGAATGGCGATACAGCGTTAACCGCACTAATAAATAAAACCTGTTTCTAATTTCACTTGGGCCTTCGGACTTACATAAATCTTCCGTCAGGCCTCAATTTTCGCAGAGATGCGGTTCTTGTTCTGACCTACTTCTTTCGGGTTCTGTTTTCTCAAAGGTTGAAGAGTCCCCGCAACCACTATAGTTAGTTGACTGTTCCTCGAATCTCTTTTTAAAATTAAAAGATGTTTCTTTGTTGTTGAAAAAAATAGTTGAAGTTTAATTTTTAACAATGTATTCTAATCTGTTCAAAGTTCTGTTCTTTTAGGAGGTATACAACAACGATCTTCTAAGTTATTTGGGTTCTGGGACCGTCTAGAGTCTTCTTGGTTTCTTCTTTCTTCATCCAGAAAATCCAGGTCCGGATATTTACTGTTGGCCTTGCATCTATATTTTTCCTGGTTCTCTAATCTTAATCTGCGCTCTGCACTTAGTTCTTTAACCTTTAATTCTAAAAAGGTCGCTCTTCTCGGAAATCACCGTCGTGAATGTCTGTCATCTAAACTTGCTTCCTTGCGAAGTCTCCCACTAGAATGTGCAAGTTTTCTTCAGTGATCTTAATGGTCATCATAGATCCTCTCCTAATCTTTCTAGACTTCTGCTATTACTCTCGGTATTTTTTTTTTAGTGCTTCCTCTTTTTCTTGACTCATTCTTTCCAGTGTCTAGTCTATACTTGAACTGGTGGAACATTTAAGCTTATTTTAAACTTCTTTCATTGATCTGCCTTCTGCTATTGCTAGTTTTATGGTTTTCTTCTGCAGCACCGACATATATTCATGAAGGTACTCAACGCCTTTTACTATGCAGTTTTTCTAATAGTTTTGAGAATTAATGTTCTGTTGAAAGTAGTAGTTAGCATTTTGTGGACCTGTTTCCCCTTTTGTCTCCTTTCTTCCTCCAATGAAGAAAAGGAAAAATTTCTTCTTTTGTTCCAAAAAAAAAACTCAGCGCATTCTTCGCTTATGGTTTTCGATGTCATCAGGCTAAGTGTTCTTATGCTAATACTACCACATCAGAAGCTAGATTTACTTCCTCTTGTGACACTTCTTTCTTCACCCTTAATGATCACGATGATGCAGCAAAGTAAGCCCTTGTCATTAAAACCAAATTTCCCAAAATGTCCCCACCTTCTTTCCACAAATGTGACGCTCCGTTACTAAAGGTACCTCAGATCCAAGGTTTACGTTTTTACCACTTTTTCCTTTATTAAAAAGCACGCTAAATGAAAAGTAACTACTATTAAAATTTAGGTACATCGGTATTAGTAGTAGTAGTTAATTTTCATTTAGTCAAAGGTTGAAAAACGATATTATCACCTAATTATTGGTTCGTACATTACAGTTACTGAAATAGAATTTAATTAAGCTCGAAATATAAAAACTTTTCGAAAATCGTCTACTTTGGGAAAATAAAAAAAAGCTTGGAAACGTGCACTACATCAAACTTACTTATTTTTACATGCTTGGTCGATAGGTCGTATAAATTAGAGATCAAGCGAGAGAGGTCTATTCAGCACCATGCGCTATACAGTGTCTTCCTAGCTCATATTCGAACTCGCATAAATTGCGAAAAACTACCTAATTAAAAATATATAACAATGAAAATATTTTGTTTAAAACTTTTATAAAATTTTATCTCGTGTATAAACTGTAAATTTTCACGTCTCTTGCTTTTGTCATCAATATTGTAAAGTGTCTTTTATACTCTTTCGAACTTTATTACCTTTTCGTATATAACTTTTAAAGACACCTGAACTGGACTTCTTCTTCTTCTTCTTTGTCTTTATTAACTTTTCCGCACATCTTTTCTTATATCCTCAACAGAATTTTAACGAGTTCGTTTCCTGCTCTATATATTGTTTCTTGAAAAAATTTTTTTGTATCTTTATCTTATTATTCAAAACATTTCCATTTGTTGTCTACTTCTCTCTTCGTTTTGTATGTCGATCTATATCTATTTTAATATTTATTTTCTGTTTGTTTTGTCCTCAAAAGTCAACTATTTGTCCAAGTTCTGCTTCCGTTTACTTATTTTTAATATCTCTTTTTCTAGCTCGTTCCTTCTTCCTTTGATGTTCTATAATAAAATTCATCGTTTTTTGCTTTCCTCGTATATTTCTTCCATATTGCGTTCGCCTTTTTTTCATTACCTCTTTTTCAATATGTGTCAATAATTTGTACCTTTGATAAGTTATTTCTTTTTAGTGCAATTTCTCGATCAAATATTGGTACAAATAAGTAAAAATCTTTTTATTTTATTTTTAAATTAAGGCAAATAAAACAAATTTTCGAATTTTAGAATTACTTTTGCTGTTTAGCAATGACATTAAAAATTTTAATTTTAATTTTTACATTTTTATTCCCTTTTCTTCTCTTTGAAATCTATTTTATGCGCAATTTCTAAAGTTTCAAAGTACTTGAAATTATTTTTCCTTCCTTTTGTTTTTAAACGATATTAACTTTTTATTAGCATTTTTCCATCTGGATTTTTTTCAAAATTCTTTTCTCTACCACTCGTCGGAGTCTCGGAGTTTTAAAAGTATGATTATATTTTTTGATTCAAACAATACTGAATTATATTCATAATTTCTTTTATGATAAATTCTTTATATTGTTTGAAAAATAAAAGATGATTCATATATTCTAATCTTCAGTCTTTTATCGATAACAGAAAAAAACTTTTTATTCAGAGAAATATTGCGGAGCACTTATTTTGGTTCTTTCCCTCTAATCTGGTTTAAATGAGACGTGAGGCTTTTCACGGCAAAGGAAAATAATACCTATCATTCCTGCAAATAACACACCCTCTCTGTTTTCTTTTTCTCAACTTGTCGGTTACCCTCGGCAATGCAATTATCTTCTCTGAAAAACACTTCTGAATTTCCTTTCCGCCAATAAAAAATCCTATTCTATCAACAAATTTATTTCACATTATTTATAAATTGTCTTTGATTTAATTTATTGTCAATTAATCAGAATTTTTATCGGAGGTACTATTTTATTACATATTCTGATTTTTTAAATAAAAGGACTTGATGAAATGGATTTGGTGACTTTATGGAATTGTAAAAAATGGACTTGATTGTTAATATTTTTCTTTTGTTATAATTGAAAAAGACAAACCAAATGTTTGTCATTTTTAGTGTATGCTCATAAAAAAAATTTGTTAGTTTATTACACACGTTTCATGTGAACTTTGTGAGAGGCGACCGCTCATGGTAAATAAAAGACTTTATGACCTTCGTCGTCGAACGTAAATATAAAAAAATTAACAAACTGACCAACTTTTCTATGTTAAACAAAGGAAAGTTTCTGTTTTTTAAAAATATTTTTATTAACAATATAGTGAAAAAGTTATTTATAAATATATGAATTTATAAATATACACCGGCGTATAAATGTAGGTCATTCGATGTATTAGAAGTATGGGATAAAAAAAAAGTTTGAAGTCATTGACGAAGCCAGAAGGGCGTTCATGAATTTACAAGGGGCATTTCCCCCAAAATATTTTTATGACCTAAATATACCCTTCGAAATTGATTTTCAATTTACGAAGC